GACAAAGTCTTTATACCTGTTGGTACAACAGACACACACACACACACACATATATGTAGGACAGTATGAGAAACATATAGGAAACATCTTCCTTATTTTGTTGGGCTCTAACCCATATGTATATATATTTATATATATATATATTAGCCCTGAAAAAAATTAATTTGGTTGAGCACTTTGGGTAGGAATTTGTAAACAGTGCCTATTACGGCTGATAATGCAAGACTCTCCAATGGATTAAGTTCTCTATGTCACTGATGCGTTTATGAAAAAATAAATACGCAAAAATTAGCCTCTCTGCCAGGTGTCATTAGCCTAGGGGTGAGAATCTGCGACTGATGTCAAATTGGTCAGGTTTTGTTCCTGACTTGAAGCAATTGGATATCTAGCTGCACTGATGAGCTGTGATTAAATAAAACAGTCGGTCTGTGGATGACTATATATATATATATATATATGTTGAGGGGTCACCCCTTTTTACACAAATGGATTCACCCAGGATATACATATACTACTGCTATGGTAAGATGAGAGTAAGAGAGAGCAAGACCGAAGAGTCGAGTCCAGAGTTACAGAGTAAAAGGTTGTAGGTAACCGGAAGAGTGAGGGGTGAGGTAACAGTGTTGTAGGAGTCACAGTGAGCGAGCACGTAGACTCAGTAAGAAGTCATACAGTGATACTTCAATACCAAAGACTATATATATATTTTGCTACTAACCTGTATTCCTGGAACTACTAACCTGTTTTACCAGTTTCTATTATTACATTAATACATTATTTTCCTATATTCATTCTTGGCGTTTGTTATTTATTGGTACCGGATTTCAACCCAGAATCCACAACAATATATATATATCTAACAAATCAGCCATGGTGAGATGCAAACCCAGGTCTTATGGTCAAAAAACGAACATTCTAACAACTCAGCCATATATATATATATATATGTGTGTGTGTGTGTGTGTGTGTGTGTGTGTGTGTGTGTGTGTGCGTAGATGAAATAAAATAGTATTTAAAAATATATATGGAGTGTCTACTCAACTATGTTTATCTATTAAAAGTAACATTTTTACCTCTTGTAATTTAAAGTGGGTTAATAATTGTAATGCTTGCAATTGAAAACTTCTGAAATAAATAAATTCTACATTTTATATAGATACTAGCAGTAGAGACCGGCGTTGCCCGGGGATGTAACAGTAAGAGATAGATCAAGTATCGACCATCATAAAGACTGAAAAATAAAATTGACAAAGATTATTCTTTAAGGTTGGCGGACACGCATGTCTTATTTAGTTTTTTTTTTTTTTTTTTTATGAATTGGTCAAACCCAAACTCAAACATTGTTTTCAATCATTATGAGTCTACCGATTGAATAGAATTTTATTATAAACAATTGTCTTGTAAATGGAATTTTTAAAGCATTCTGAATGTAAAAATAAAAAAAATGTGTGCAAGAAATAAGAAACACTACCTGCCAAACAAAAAGTGAAGTTTTGTTGAAATCAGTTGAAAAATGTAGGAAATCTGATCCCATATATAAACGGACACACACACACAAACAACCTGGGTTGTATAATAAGTATAACTCGATATGAGTTGTCCCCCTTTCATTCTGGTGACATAATCGTGTTTTATCATGTTTTCAAATTGATTTTGTGCAAAAACAATTGTGTTTTCCAATTTTTGGTGCTGTCAGAACCACCGCAAGATTATTTTATATAGTCCTGTGAAGTTTTGTTGAAATCGGTTGAAAAATGTAGGAAATCCGATCCAATATATAAACGTACAGACACACACACAAAACCTGGGTTTTATAATAAGTATGGTATGCACATACTATTACATATATAGAAAAATTAGTTTAGTAAATTTATATAATCAGTTGTAGAATGTATTTGTGTGATGCTCCACATTTGTTGGTTGTAGAATTCTTTTCATCTAGGAAGCTAAATTGCCTTCCCAGAAGACTTCTTTTTCACTATTTCATAGAGAAAGACAGAAATGTAATTTGCATTCTTTGCCTTTTATACAGTTTATTACAATGCCACCTAACAGGCATTAAAAGTCGTCCCTTGATAGACAAGGTGGAGTAATGAAATGCACAAAACTATTTTTTTTTTGTAATCTTTTAACATTTTGCTATACTTGAGTTATCTCCCATATATTGGCAATGTCAGAGCAAGTCATTAGCGGACATTTCAAGATGTTTACAAATAGAAGAGGTAAAAAGAACAATACAATGAAAGAGCCAATTCCAAACTTAATAACTGGAAAAAAATTCATCTCTGCCATCATTTTTGACAGTCCCTATTTTGGCTAAACGATTACCACATTAATAGGTAGAGCATTACTTCATGTTATTTTCTTCCTTCGTAAGCTGAGAGTTTTATGTCCATTTAATAACTTAAATGAAATTATTCTGATGTTAATGTCATGTATAATTACTCCACAAGCTTCTTACATGGAAATACCAAAATATTTGTCATCTGATTAAAGACAAAGAATTTTTTTTTGACATCTTTACAGAATGTGTCTGGCTCTGCCACCCAAAGAATTAAATAAATCATGTCAGAATAGAATTACTCTGGACAAACAATTCATTATTATAAAATCTTTTGTTCCGAAATCCCATAAACATTTCCTCGTAAGATAATGATTGAAGTAAAAGTTCTCTAAAAATATCTCAATCTTCCGTTCTCTGCACTCCGAGTGGACACTTACTCACTTTAACAAACATCAAAGACTAAAACTGCTAACATTTCAATTAAATTTACTGAAATTATCTCAAAGAAAAGCAAATGTTTGCAAAACACAAAAGAAAATAAAAGTGGGGGAAGAAGCTGTCATTGTCTGAAAAGAAATAAAAACATTTTTTTACTGACTTTCCTGAGAGTCATCTGGTACTGAGTGAATAAAAAAACATTTCTACAAGAGATGTTCTAACATTAAAATTAATTTTTACATTATTTTTGTTGTTACCTCAATATTTCCACCAATCTGTTTGACAAATGTCTTCAGGTGGACATCAACTTTAATTCTGGGATAAGTCAATTTAATTCCATTTTTGTTAAAACAATATTTCAGCTGATTCATTCTACTGAATTGTTCAAGGGCATAATGTGTATGAAAAAATACCTAGTGAAATTTTAAAATGGCTTGTCATTCCAAGTGTTATTCAGACTAGTGAACTCCTACATTTTTTTGGTTTTGGGGCAAAAGAAATATTTCATTATTTAATCCATTAGGTCTTTAACAATAGCCTAGTGGAATAAATTGTTGGTTTGTGAAATTTGGTTATATAGTCATTGTGAGTTCAACACTTGACCAGTGTGCAATTGCACTTAGTGGAAATGGGAAAACAATAACTGAGCAGGACTAAATAAAAATAATAACTAGACGATATCTTTAGACATTAGCAGTGGAATGAGATCAGTCTACCTCCATAGATTAAATAAAGTTTTCAGTTCAGAATTCCCTGTAGGTTACCCAGACTGGCATACATTTGAGGAAGGATAGAGAGCACAACAGCTGAAACATTGTGATAACAACAATAAAGATGAGGACAATCATCTGGATATAAATAGTGCAAATAATTATAAATAACCATCCAAAGAAATTCAGACAGAAAATAAATATTTCAGCACATTTACTTCTTTTACATGCCATGCCAGTTCAGACTAAGTGATCATGACTCTCCACAACATCCTGTCTTCTGTCACTCTAAATTTTGAAATTTTACCATCCATCCTTGTCTCTGTTCTTCCATCCTTCCACAAAAATTTGTTAAATAGGTTATTTATTGCTTATCTGACTTTCAGTATGCCCTGTGCATGTTAAATTTTCCAAGCCTTCTTTCCCCATTTTGCATCCCAGAAATGTCAACTGTGTCCTCCTGTTTATAATATGGTAATGGTAATATCATTCAATTTCTTATATGGAAACATTCAGGATTCATTGACTGAGAAATCAGCACTATTTTTGGTTAAAATTTAAAAAATCTTTCACTTCAAACAATTTTTCAGGAAAATAAGTTTCTCAACTCTAATAATTATATATGCTCTTTCTGGTATTTATAGGGATTTGTTGGTTTCAATCTTTGCTAGGAATGACTGCAAACGACTTTCCCCCTCACTAATTTATAGGCAGAAGCACACAAATGCATGCTGGGATTTTTCTCTAGTCAATATAATAGACCTGTTCTAAGTTTCATCTAAATCAGTCCCGGCCTGTCTTATCTTGAAGCCAGACTGCTATGTTCACTTGTCCAAACGCACTTTTGTATGTCAACCCTAATTCATAGTTTGTGAACTTTTTGCCTTATTACTGTTGCTTTGCCTTATTACTGTTAATTTGCCTTATATATATTTTTTGCTTGCTTTATATTATGTTTTGCCCTGTTCTTTTCTTTTTCTTCTTATTGTTTATTGCAAACTTTGTTAATTCTGTTTGTTGGGCAGTTCTGTCATTTATTTTGCATTTGATCATGGCTACCCACTCCACAAGGTTGCCTTCCTCACCTTTTATTTGAAGTAGTGTGGAATGTTAACATCTTGATTATGTCATTATATTCTTTTCAAGTTGCATGTGCTATCCATTTTAGTTGTTGCTGCTGTTGAAAGTCCTCAAGTGATGTGGCATGCTCATACAGAAGAGATCTTTGTTTATGATTCTATAGCACCAGTCCACAAGGTTTGAGGAAGTATGGTGCCCACCAAGTTCCACAAACCTCACTAAGCCATTTTTAATCATTGATCTTAGAAAGTGGTTGTATAGAGCAGACAGTTTAGATATTTCTGAACGGGTTGGGTGGGGGTTCATCTGTATGGAAGTCTAGATCTGACTCAACTTTTCAGGTTAATGTTTTGGTTTTGTAACAACTTGTGGTATTGGGCAAAACTACTACTACCACAACCTATTCTTGGCTTAATATAAGCTTCCTGGTTGCCTATGTTTTACTTAAAACTTCCTTGGTACCATATCTTCTGTTCATATTTCAAAAC